TGGGAATTTGGAGAGGTGTCTACGTTTTTTGCATCTTGCTGTAATGTTCAAACCATTGAAACTTACTTCATTGGATACAGACTACTTCTTCGGTTAATTGCCCGTTTTGCAGCTTCCAGCCGCGCCTGTCTCCGCTTGAACCCACTAACTGCGCTAATTTGCAATGGTTTTGCGATGTTTGGCAATTGATGAAATGAACATAAGGTCATAAGAATAATTGGAAAGCGCAGAAATCTCATGATGAGACTTTGCTTTATGCAATACTAAGAGTGGATTGTTTGTTGAGGATGCGCGTCGCGTTGTTCTTGACTCTGCATTGATGCTCCGAGCTCGTCACGCTTGTCACACGCGTTTGTGTGGACTGTGCGTCATACCTTTCTTTCTTCCATACCATCACCATTCATTATTATCTTCTCTTTCTCATCATGCCATCTGACAGGAGTGTTGGGGAGGGCAACGAGTCTAACTCTTCATCGAGGAGGCTCAAACGTCGACAGAATGCGAGCGTAGAAACAGGGGAACAGCGGAAGAAGAAAAAAAACAACGAAGTATCCTAATTGACTCACATTTTACTTTAAAACTGAAGCCATGACTATCTCTAGGAATCGGAAATTACGGGGGGTGGACAAGGCGAAGGCTTTTCGTGATTTTGCGAAGTTGATCAGCCGCTCAGAGAATCCATTCATCTCATTTGGGCCCGTTCTTCGATTGGGACTGGGTATTTTACCCGCGGAAGAGGATGAAGACGAGGTCATTGTTCCTATGTAAGTTCTTTCCGATACCAGAGCACAAGTATGGACTAATGATTAGGCCCCGCGAGGAACACGATGAATATATGCGCATCTTCGAGGGGTGCCCAGGTTGGACAACGATCGTAGCCAAGCTTGATCGGGGAGATTCAAAGCTGCTCAATGTTCTCGTCGATGAGGTATGTATTATCTTACTATATGCGCTGTTATCTCCTCATAATCACTTTAGATGGACGAGAGTTTCAAAAACGCTTTGTAGGGCCGCCAACAGACCTGACCAATGAGCTCGAGACATATGTCACCTCACCTGACAACTTTGGAGTGGGCGGTATTTTGCCCAGGCTGCTGCTTTCCGAAAATAGACACTAATTTCATCTACATTAGGCCGTGGCAAGGCCCCCACGTCCAGCGCTTTCGACTCGGACACTGGATCTGACTCCCAATACGACAAGGAGACCGAGAACATTCAGCCGCGCTTACGCCAAGCAAGATCGACGACTGCTTCACCCCAAGCAAACTCTCGCAATTCGACGAAAGTTCAAGAGACTGTCCATACCCTGCCTCAACATTCGAAATCTTGAGCCCCGTTACACTGTCGCCTAAAGAAAAAGCGAAGAAAGGAACTCAAAGGGTTGCTACCGCAACGCGCTCACTGCGCAGTCACAACACCCAACGCCATGCTTAGATACTGGTGCGTTCTTTGCTGTCGATGTTTTTTCCCATTTAACATAAGTCATTCGGACGCTCTCATTTCTTATTCACAGTCACGGATCACAGACCACGGACTTCAATCACCAACGCTCTCGATTCTCTCCATCCACACTCACGGACCACTCAAGACGGACCTTCTCACATACTTACGTTTCGTCATCGCTTACTTCGTCTCATTTTGATCACTGCTCTCTCTGTGTTATGACTGCCTTCTTTGTTTCCTTTGTATGTTACTGAATATGAATGTCATTGCCGTGTTAACATGTCATTGTAAAAGATTCATCGGGGTAGAATGCAACCTCAAAACAATATTGGATCACCTTGGAATGTGTATCTAACTTGGAAGACCTTCTATAGGAACATATTTATTGCCTACCTTTTAAAGTGAACAATGTGATGGATGGTCTACAAACTTTTTTTCGGCTTTCATTCTTAGCTTAAACTTACAATTGTACCTCAAACTCGCATACTTCATGCAATCATTGCTTCACCTTCCGACTTTGTTGACACCAGTGTATGATAGGGTAAGGTCGGCTTAGAATTCTACTACATTAGTGCTGATTGGTCGCATTGTAGCACCTTACATTGTAATGTAAGGTTGATGCGGTTTTGCTGATGACAATGGTGCCATGACGAGTGTTCAATTCACTAATAATTTGACCTAGAGTCGCCAAAGAGCATGAGAGAGAGAACGAACAATATATAAATGAGCAGCGACTTCAATATTCTTGTCATATGCACGATTGGCTCCAAAGTAACACCCTTCGCAAATTTGAATGCCTCACGGAAAGCACCGATGGTTGCAAGTCGGAAAGCCAGTTCAGACGGATTGACGGCATGGAACTTGGAAGGCACCATCCTCGAGCACGAAACGGCGCTACCACAAGGCACCTTTCTCAAGCGCTTCATAGAACCCTAGCAGCGATTGAAACGTCAAAACAAAGCTGGAAGCTTTTCAATGGCACCCATGACCACGCTCTCGAAGAAGGTCTCTCAGGCTGGGTCAGGTTCTATGATGCATTTGGGATGCATTGGCTCGATGTACCCGACAACTTGGCGTATTCAAATATTCAAGACCCGCGCCTCCAGTCTGGTTTTCGTGCGTGTAGGCGAAATCTGCGCGTTGAGTGATAGTCTTACAGAATGCTACGTTTTTTTACATAATATAAATACATAAGATATAGAAAGCAGACTTCAGGCTAAGGCCTAAGTACTTCAAAATTCATCAGGAGCAACGACATCCAACAATGCATGATTGGCTCCAAAATAACACCCTTCGCCATCTTTGACGCCTCACCGATGGTTGCAAGTTGGAAAGCCAATTCAGACGAATCGACGATATGGAACGCACCATCCTTGGGCACGAAACGCTACGTCTGGCAGTCAGTGTTCCGATAGCCTCTCTTCCTCGGCCCATGACTGCGTAGCTTCGCAGGTCTAAAAGATTGTCACAGCCGGCGCTAGCGAAACGCTGGACCGAAGAGACCCTGCTTGGGGCTGTGGGCTGTGCCACTGATAAGAGAACCGAAGCGCCATTAAACGGCCTTGCAGCCAATGGCACGACCAAGCACGACCATTGAAGATGTCAGCGTCCCATTGACCAGCAAGATGGATATGTGAACGTGGTCAATCTCAGACGTACTCTTTAAAGTCACAACTCTAGCAGAGGATGCGCAGGCATGGATGGCCGCGAGTTCATGGGGCGCCCAGGATACTTATTGCCTTCCAAAAAACAAAGCAAGGCGTATCATTTTTTCATTCGATGTTCAAATTAATAAGTCTCTGGCGTTTGACAGAAGTGCTCAACGGTTTACAGCACCCTACCGTCACGGGGGTGGGCGGGGGAAGTATGTTGGCATTTGCGTTTTCACACGTGCAAATCGAACGATTTTAGGCGCCCTGTTTATAACCCTTGTCCACGGAGTTGCCAAACCGAATCCCTTCAAGTCCAGTCTATGGTTGACCAGTCGGGCGCTCCTCAACAAGAAATGTGTTTTCTAGACAATAATGATGACGTGAGTAACGGATGGCTTCCTGATCTTCGTCACAACGTAGTCCGCCCTTGAAGGATCTGACAGACGCTGTCGAGAGGGATGGTGAATTCTATATTGGTATAGGGGAGCATTCTGATCTCTGGAGGGGAAAACTGGAGGTTGACGGAGTTCCTACCCTGGTGAGGCCGTCGTCGTTTAATGTGTGTTTCTACTTATGCCGGGATACAGGTTGCCATAAAAGTTCTTCGTGGAGGCTCAAGCAGCCGACCCGATTTTCGAGAACAGTTGATCAAGGTATAGTTTCTTATCACTCCACTCATACAGACCGCCTGAGCGTCTATGCCAGGAGCTTCGTCGGCAAGGCATTCGCTGGCTGAAGTTGTCCGACCCTCACGTTAGCAAGTTCTATGGATTTGTCTACAACTTCGGTATGCTTCCCGGGCTCGTACTGGAGTTTTACGAGGGAAAGAATGTCATGGAGTACACAAAGCGTGAAAATTCTGATGAAACCAAGCTACGACTGGTTTGCAACCCTTTCATTTCTGGTAGCTGCAAATTTTGAATTTTGATCCTTATGGTCAGGTTGGGGAAATTGCTTTGGGATTGAAATACTTGCATCAACAATGGCCGCCTATCATTCATGGTGACTTGCGAGGGGTCAGTTTTTTTTGTCCTATCTTGCTCATTGACCACAATTTGTAGCAAGGCGAATGTACTCATTGATAGCAAAGGACACGCCGTAGTGGCCGACTACGGCTTGGCCTTGATAATCGATTCATCTGAGTTCACCTCTATCAAAACCGCAGGCACTTGTCGATGGACTGCACCAGAAATTATGGATCCTCCAGCCAATGGCGATATACCCTTACCTCAATTTACCGTCAAGAGTGACATATTTTCCTATGCTATGACCGTCTTTGAGGTACAGCTTCCCCCCCTTGCCCGGCATCCATTCACACCCCGAAAAGATCTTTGCTGGGGAACAACCATTTAACGACAAGAAAAGCGATGGCAACGTTATCTTTGCCATCTTGGACGGGAGTCGCCCAGTGCTGCCGGAGTCTATTGAAAGCAGGGCCAATCTAGCAAACCTCGTCACACAGAGCTGGAGTCAGAACGCCGATCAAAGACCAAACGCTCGTCAGATCTGCCGCAGATTGGGATTGGTACGAGTAGTTCTTCCTTTGAAATGACGCCTCTGACCGATTTATAGACAACTTGGTACGGGGATTGGTATGTGCATTTTTTGTTAAATTCGAATAGCTCTCTGACCTTGTTATTAGGATGGACACTCTCCGTGGATATCTGCCAGTGTAGGTCGCAATACCCTTTTTCCCTTTCAAAGTCTTCGCTCGTTCGGTCCGATATCATGCCTCGTTGTCTTTTCTAGTGCCATTGGTGTCCATGCTTCCATAAAGAATCATTCTGCTTTAGGATTGTTATGCTGCTACGTGGTTCCTTGTTCCCGTCGACAACGCCCATTCACGTCACTCTCCCACACTCAAGCGTCAAGATTAGACGGGCGTCTCCAGATCCGTCGCTTATGGTTACAATGTGTAGCCAGCGTGTGAAGAACGTGTTCTTGACGTTACGACGACATCTGAAGCACCCCATTCCCGCGAAGGTTCACCATATGATGCAGTTTGACGACATTTGGACAAAGACAAAGCGGGAAGGAAGATCTTTGTCGTTGTTGTGGTTTCCCTCAAAGTGCGACATGGCCAACTTGAAGGTCATTGTCAACTGCTTAGCCGCTCTTTTCACTTGCTAATATCACTATGTCCTTCAGAGTTTGGACGGGAATGTAGAGGTCACTACGAAATTACCTATTGCCAATGGTGGTTACGAGAAAAGTCCGTATTTGGAAATTGATAGCAGCTGCTATCCTGTAAACGGAAATTTTGGCTGAAATGTTGCTGTGGGTACCGTTGATCTTTATATCGTTCCACTTCCTCATTTACGAACGCTGCCGTGCATCAAGGTCATAATTCAAGTTTTTCGAAAAGCAAGAAGAAGACGAACACTCCCGAAACTCGGCGAATGCCTGTTGCCAGCCAGCCGACGGTTGGTGTTTCGCCATGGTGATGCTCGAGGTTTGGTTTTTTTTTCCTACGCACATACCTCCTTACCGTAATTGATACTTCGTTTCAGTGGAAAATTACATTCTGGTATATGATCGATATACAGCGGTGATGGGAGTCGCGTACGGAAATGAAAAGCCTAACCCGAAGCTTTATCCCTCCTTTCCCCACGATTAAGGTAGCTGGGACATCATGAGAATATGCCGGCACGTTGACTCATCACTGCTCGCAGAGGGAAGAAATAGGATGCCCGAAAGTTACCGTGGAGGCTGGTTCCCGAAATTAGGCATTTTCCGGTCTTCTGTCCGTCCCATTTCCGGCGAAACCTGTCCAAATTGCACCTGGCCTTTGCCAACTTTTCGAAAATTTGTGCAGACTTTGGGAACGCTAGCCTATGCCTTCCAAAAAGCAACAATCATCGCGATTCGAGCCCAGGACCTCCCAGGACACAACCATGAGATCTACAACTTGACCCACAGCCCACGCGTCAACACTTGTTCGTTTGAGATTTGGCCTGACGTCTAGCTGCGAAGACCTGTCCAGACTTTGGAACTGGCTATTTCGCTCGCATGGTGCAATTCCTGTCGGAATGGCGCCTGGTTTAACCGCCTTTTTTTGAAAATTGTCGTCCGGGGTGGAGACCAGCCTCCAAGGGGACTTTCGGGGGTGATGAGATGCCTGGTTTGGTCAATGCAGTCCCTCAATACTCTCAGGTAAAGAACCTGCAGGCCATATGCTTTTGTTTCGTCTCATCTACCACTCGAGAGACCCTCATCTTGTATGAATTCGTTGTAGTTCAATAAACTCTCTTTGCTTGCCATGCAATGAATGCCATAGTGAACGAAATATAAATTAGCTGTTTATATGATGTACAAAGTCGACTGTTTACTTTTTACTCTTGTGATACATCTCCTCAAGAGCCAGTGTTCAATCTTGACCTGGAGTCGCTAGAGACGATGAGAAAGAGAACGATTTATAAGTGAGCATTCTTACTCTGAATTCAGCAGGAGCAATGACTTCCACATTCATGATTGGCTCCAAAATAACACCTTTCGCCATCTTGAATGTCTCACGTAAAGCACCGATGGTTGCAATTCGGAAAGCCTGTTCAGACGAATTGACGACGTGAAAGGCATCATCCTTGATAAATGGCGTCCAAAAATGGCGTTACCACACAAGTCACCTTTCTCAAACGCTTCATAGAAACCCTAGCAATTCAAAGGAATCAAAACTTTGTTTCAAGTTGATGAGTGGTAAAGTGACCTTTTCAATCGCAGGGAATGAAATTGATACACTCGAAGGCAAGGTCCTTTCTAGTCTCTGGGTCAGGTTCCATCGGCTCGATATACCCAACAACTTTGGCGTATGGACCCCACGCCTCCACTTTGCTTCTTGTGCGTGTAGGCGAAATCGGCGCGTTGAGTGATAGTCTCACGGGATGCTACGCGAGGTTTGCCAGAGACGCAATCAGTGTTTGCGCATGCGTTCCACATATATTTCTGATTGAAGTTCTCCCATGCCGGAAGTAATGGTCTAGATAAGAGGCGGTCGTTAGCCGGACGTTGATAAGAAGGCGGGACATGTAGAAGCCGGACCTCTTTGCCCTTATGATCGATGTGAACTTTCAATGTAGGATCTTCCTTCTGAAACCGATTCAAAGCACGCGAAAAATTTGGGGTTTCAAGGCTTTTCGGTTTGATGGACAGCGAGATAACCAGTTTTGAAACATACATGTTCGTCTAAGAGTAAAATTAGCTGACAGATAGCAACGCAGATCCTGATGCGATACTTACCATGGAAAAGCTGGTAGAACCGTCCGTGAAAGTATCGCCTGAGGAGCATTCCACGCCAAAAACGGAACAAATTTCACCAGGACCAATGGATTCAATATCCTCCATCTTCTGACCGTTAATGGGCAATTCGTCGTTGCTGAAGAAGACCTCACCAATCTCCTCGTCTAACTCAACAAGTTGTTCAATAAGTGGCCTTGGCCACTTCCATAACCGATTCGGGGATTTTATGGCATATAGGAGTTGTTGATCCCGCACCCAAGAGGACAAACACAAAGGGGAGAAGTTAACCCTTTCTGGCCCTCGCTGTATATAGGCCGGCAGCAGCAGCTATGCGATGCTTTGACCGGATTTGGTTGACGATTCTCCATGGGTTGGCACCAGACCTGGAGGAAGCAGACACCCATTTAAGTAATGTTTGCAAATACCTATCCATCTTGTTGATGAATGGCCATGCTTTGGGTGTGACCAAGGGAGTCCGGGACTGGTCAAGACTCAAGCATGCTTGTGACTCCAATTGAAGCGGCGAAGTTGAAACGTCAATGTGTTCGATCGAAGCGTATGAGTGTCTAGTCCCCACCAACTACGGCGAAGACTTTCACGCTTCGATTTGAAGAACGACTCTGGCTAGACGTTTCCCCTTGTGGTCCAGTTGCGTACATAGAATCATGAAGATACTTTTGTCATGTGCAGTCTCAAAGGGCACTGAATCCGAGACTGCTTCAGCTACCTGGCGTAGTATGGTAAGCCGTTTGGGTAACGTTCAATGCGAACGAACGCCTACTCACCATGTAGTTTGCAGGATATGAATGAATGACGTCGTCGTATCGCGTGGTTTTTTTCACTATTACACGTGCATTGTGACATTGTTGTGACACCTCTCTCCTGGACCTTGCATAAAAGAATCCCAATCTCTCCAAACGGCTTCAGTCATGCATCGGGAGGCCAGCTTTCCCTTCAGGACTATTCGGATATTATTTACGTCCTCGAGCTGGGGGTACACTTGACACCTACACCAAATAAAGCTTAGTGGAACGCCGGTTCAACAGCCTACCCTTGGCCTACCCTTAGCGCACTCACCCATGTGTAAGGTACTTTTTTATAGTACTGCGCCACCCCAGTGGGTATCAAAATCGTGGCATACGGCTCCGAGTCTTCGATTCCCTCGAGGCTCATCAGAATGGTTGTAATTCGGAGTTGAAGACCAAGTTCCAACCGGTCTGATCGATTGAATGCCTCCAACTGGCGAAGTTGAACCCCTGGTAAGTATCTCACCATCATGCTGTGTTTAACTCAACTCAGCAGTACTGTAACCTAAGGGTGCTTCTAATTTATAACTGCTGTCGAACGTAAGTGTGACACGTATCAAGGGGAGACTAGCTATAAGAAGGAGCCGTGAACGGCCCCCCCGTTGCAGCCCAGTCAATGGCTGATTGTTCAGCTGAATCGCAACAAGGAATGAATTCTGAGGACGTAAGCAGTGGATGATTTTCTGGTCTATGTTGAGACTTAATCTCGCTTTTGAAGGATTTGACTGAGTTTATCGAGAGGGATGGTGAACACTCCATTGGTATTGGGGAGAACTCCGACCTCTGGAAAGGAAAATTGGAGGTTGATGCTGTGCCTACCATGGTTGCCATAAAAGTCCTTCGCGGAGGCTCAAGTAGTAGGCCTGACTTTAGGGAACAATTAATCAAGGTATGCTTTCGAATTGGGCCCATACAGCCCCTTTGCTAAAGCAGTGCCCAGGATCTTCGTCGACAAGGACGTATCTGGCTGAGGCTGTCTCATCCTCATGTGGCCAAATTCTACGGATTCGTCTATAATTTCGGCATGCTCCCTGGTCTTGTACTCGAGCTTTATGAAGAAAGAAATGTCATGGAGTACACGAAGCGTGAAAGTTCTGATGATACAAACTTACGACTAGTTCGTTTCCGTTTTTTCCTAACAGAACCAGAATCCGAACTGGTACTTATTTGACAGGTTGGCGAGATTGCTTTAGGTTTGAAGTACTTGCATCAACAACGGCCTCCCATAATTCATGGCGACTTGCGAGGGGTCAGTCTCTCCCTGTCCTGTTCTGGTCAATGACCACAATTTATAGCAAGGCAAATGTACTCGTTGATAGCAAAGGACACGCCGTTGTTGCTGACTACGGCCTAGCGTCAATCATGGATTCGTCTGAGTTCACTTCCATTAAAACCGCGGGAACTTGTCGATGGACTGCCCCGGAAATTATGAATCCGCCAAACAATGGCGACACCCCGTTGCCTCAATTTACCGTCAAAAGTGATATATTTTCGTATGCTATGACTGTCTTTGAGGTATATCTCTATTGCCTTTCTCCATATTTAAATACTCATACACCCCAAAAAAGGTATTTGCTGGAGAGCAACCATTTAACGAGAAGAAAAGCGACGGCAACGTCATTTTTGCGATCTTGAACGGGAGTCGCCCAGTGCTGCCGGAGGCTATTGAAAGCAAGGCCGATCTCGCAAACCTCGTCAGACAGAGCTGGAGTCAGAACGCCAATCAAAGACCAAGCGCTCGTCAGATCTGCCGCAGATTGGGATTGGTACGAGCAATTTTTCTTATGGAACCACATCTCTGACCGATTTCTAGACGACGTGGTACGGTGATTGGTTTGTCGCATTTTTGTTGCAGTTCGGATCGCTCTCTGACCTTGTCACCAGGATGGACACTCTCCGTGTATATCTGCCGCTGTAGCTTTTCTAATGTCGCGATTTTTTGTGCTCAATCATACCATTTCTTACCTTTCAAAGGCTTCGATGCGCGCTCGTTCGGCCCGATATCCTTCCTTGTTGTCCTCTTTCGTGCCGTTGGTATCCTTCCTCCCGGAAAGACTCGTTCTGCTTTGGGATTGTTATGCTGCTACGTGTTTCCTTGTCCCCGTCAAGAACGGATTGTTTTGCCCATTCACGTCAGTCTCTCACATTAGCTGGATGAATGTGGCATTAGACCGTCAAGCGTCAAGATTAGACGGGCGTCTTCAGAGCTGTCACTTATAGTTACAATATGTATCCAGCGTGAAAACAACGTGTTCTTGCCGTTACAACGATGTTTCAAGCGCGCCCTTCCCGCGTAGATTTTTCCGGATTCACCATGTGATGCAGTTTGACAACATTTGAACAAAGATAAAATGGGATGCAAGATGGACGAGGAAATTCCAGGATACCTTGGTTTCCTTGAAGATACGACATGGCTGCCAATGGCACTGATGTACCGAACATGAAGGTAATTGTCAACCGTTTAGCAGCCCTTCTCACTTACTGATATCTCTACGTCCTGCAGCGTTTGGACGAGCAGATAAAGGAAATTTCAGAGTTTCCCACTTTTTGTGGTGGTTACGCGGACATATTTACTGGAGTTTGGCGGGGTGGCCGAGCTTCCTTAGCTCGTGGAGTTTGGACAGCTGGCGAAGCAATCTCTGGCCGAAATGTCGCTGTGGGCACCATTCCCCCTCCTGATTCACGAACACAGACGTGCATCAAGGTGACCATCAAGGTCTTTCGAGATGTGCACAACAAGGCGGATACTCCCGAAGCTCGGCAGAAGTATGAGAAGGCAAGTGTCCCCTCCCTTTCTTGACCCTTGCTTTTATTTTATCCGAACCACCAGCTTTTGAACAATGAATATCGCGTTTGGGCAAGTCTTTGCCACACAAATGTGCTTCCCCTGTTCGGCGTGATCAAAGACCCAGCAATCCCTTCCATGGGCATCGTGGCACCGCGCTGCACTTTCGGCGATTTGCGCGCCTTTTTCTCTGACCCGACGAGAGCATCATCTGCCAACAGACTCGCCATCGTGAGGGCCACCTTAATTGCATTAACTTCCAATCTGAGTGCGACCTTTTTTTTTAGGTGAAAGGAATCGCGAAAGGCCTGAAATACGTGCATGGGAAAACAGTGGTTCATGGTGATTTGACGATGGTAAAGAAAATGTTTTTTTTTTCATGACTGGCAAAAAAAATCTTGATCTTGTGCTGAATAGGGTAACGTTCTCATCGAGGTTATTGAAGGCATTGTCACGCCGCTTATATCTGATTTTGGGCGATCTCGGGTCCTCGAAGTAAAAGGCTATACTTCCTCAATTGCTAGTACGGTACAGCGGTCAGGGAGATTTGTTTTGGAGCGCGATCTTCATGCTAATCTGAAGAAATAGACACCTGGCCCCAGAGATTCTGGTGGCTGAGGATAAGGATCGAACTACGAAAGCCTTGACCCAGCCAGCCGACGTTTGGTGCTTTGGTATGGTGATGCTCGAGGTTCGTGCTTTCTATATGCGTCACATCCTTTCTATCTACTTAAGCACTCAACACATTGCTCTAGACCCTTACGGGGAAACAGCCATTCTTTTATTTGACCGAATATCAGGCAGCAAAGGCCATTGAACTTGAGGGCAAGATACCTGACCGAAATTGTTATCCTCGTTTTCCGCACGATGATGCCTGTTGGCAAATTATGGGGGAGTGCTGGCATAGGGTCCCTTCGCACAGGAAGGAAATGCGTTACTTGTTGCAAGTCCTAAACACTCTCAAACACTGACAGCAGCAGCCTCAGTGCTTTGTTTTCGTCCCCTTCACGATACCCTCATCCCACATATATCCAACCTGTTCTGTTTCGTCGAGTTCCATACAATGTTTCGTGAATGAATGAAATATTAGTGCCTGATATGTTTTCTAACGTCTAAGGTATTATACTGTCTATTTTTTAACAACAAGGGTCTTGCGGTAAGCCTCCTCAAGATCCTTCTGAAGATTTGGCAGAACAGGCATGTGATGCTTGAGGAAGAAGGTTCAGAACCACAGGACACCAACAGAAAAGAAAAGGACGAACCTTATATTCCATGCTGAATTCACCCTTCCCTTGAGTAGAACCACGAAGTTGATTGGAATGCCCAAACATATCGTTCAGCGCCACCTCAGCGGCAGCAGTGAACTCGTCATCGCGGACTTCGCCGTCAACAATGGTACCACGACGAGTGTTCAATCTACCGATAACTTGACCTAAAGTCGCCAAAAGTGATGAGAGAAGGAACGATATATAAATGACCATTCTTACTCTGGAATTCAACGGGAGCAACGACTTCCACATTCATGATTGGCTCCAAAATAACACCTTCACCATCTTGAATGCCTCACGGAAAGCACCGATGGTTGCAAGTCGGAAAGCCAGTTTAGACGAATCGACGGCATGGAAGGCACCATCCTTGAGCACGAAATGGCATCCGAAAATGGCGTTACCAGACAAGGCACCTTTTTCAAGTGCTTCATAGAAACCCTAGTAATTGAAAGATGTCAAAACAAAGTTGGAAGTTTACGAGTGATGAAGTGACCTTTTCGATGGCAGGAATGAAGTTAGTAGGGATGTTCCCACCCATGACCACGCTCTCGAAAGCAACGTCCTTTCCGGTCTCTGGGTCAGGTTCCATCGGCTCGATGTACCCGACAACTTTGGCGTATTGACCCGCGCCTCCAGTCTGCTTCTTGTGCGTGTAGGCGAAATCGGCGCGTTGAGTGATAGTCTCACGGAATGCTACGCGAGGTTTTCCAGTGACGCGATTAGTGTTATATTCTCTGCGCATGCGTTCAACATAAATTTCAAGGTGAAGTTCTCCCATGCCGGAAATAATGGTCTAGATAGGAAGCGGTCGTTAGCCGGACATTCATAAGAAGACGGGACATGTAGAAGCCGGACCTCTTTGCTCTCATGATCGATGTGAACTTTGAATGTAGGATCTTCCTTCTGGAAGCGAATCAAAGCTTTGTCGGATTCAGCGGGATTGGGAAGGTAAGCGCACACACCGTCAAGCTGGGCTGAACGGCTGTGTTCTTGATCGCAAAACCGAGGAAGACCGGGGAGAACTTGAGGGCGATTGTGGAGCGTCGAATAGCAGCGGCAATCTGGTGGTTATTGAACAATTCGTCGTTGGGGAAGAGCTCCCCAATCTCTTCGTCTACCTCAGCAAGTTGTTCCGCTTGGCCTTGGCGAGTTCCGTAACGGACTCGAGAATTTCCTGGGATATAACGACCTCATTTCTATGAGTTGTTGAGCTCGCAGCCAAGAGAACAAACACAAAGGGGAAAAACTGATGTAAATGAGAGGAGGTCGCGTCAAGGTGTGGCTGAGTGCACACGACCATGTGACACACACCCTTTTTCACATTGGGCACTGGTCCTAACTGAAAGCCATTCGGGACCGTCTGACCCCCCGAAGAGTCGGCTACTAGCCTTGAGGCTGGTAGCCTGGGAACGATCACCGCATCATTCGGCAAAGCCCGTCAGCTCATCAGAGACTCCGCTCTACACAAGTCTACACAGCAACTTACGTAGATTTTTTGTCGCGACAACCTACATCTCAAAAAAAAATGCCATGAATTTCGAAAACAGGGATACTTTCAAATTTCAAACGACTGTTGTGAAAGATACCTCAATTTTTTCTATAAATGACACGGAGTGACGGAATCAACACCACCAAACAGTTACCAAATAGAATGTTAGAACTTAGCGCTGTATACGCTTTATGATACGCATTTTGTGGCGACGGTAACGGATTCCACGAGGAATAACTTTACATTGTTCTAATACAAATGGATAGTGAAAGGTATAAAGAAGAACTTACAAAGTCAAGCTAAGCATCAACCAATCAACAACCAATAACCACAAAACTAGCAAGTAACAAGTCCAGCACCCAACTTACAGTGCTTTGCATTGCCGTCTGCACAAGGGAGTTTCGAAAACTCTATTTGGTTTTGTATTTTCGTCACAGATTGTCACGTATCAGAACCAGATCTGAGCACACAATTTGCACACAACCAACTCCCATGGCGCCATAAGGATCAGATGCGATGCGCACACGGATTACCATTTGGCATGGTGGGCATCATCTCTCAGCACAAGAGATTTTAGGCCTTGTTGGATGAAGTGGTCTGTTTCTCCCCGCTTTGTGGCAGTCACGGTACAACACATACAAACAGGTTTTCCAAATTCCGTTGTGCAGACGGCAGTGCAAAGCACTGTAAGCATGATGCATGATGTGTTATATGTGTCTAATGCATTCAATGACTCTTCATATATGTGGAACTGAATGTTTGCGAGCAGTGTGATAATTACAAGAGGCTCGGAAACGAGACGCGACATGATACATTAACGCGACGGACCCTTCACTACGTCACGTTCAGCTATGGCCGCACGTGAGGGCATCAGCGGCATTTTCCGAGGGAGCGTCCAGGCTTGTAGCACTGAGGCTCGTGGCCAGGTCAGCGGGCGGTCCGACATTCTGGGCTTGCTGAACACCCGTTTTTATCCATCACATGACGGCCATAACGGCCGTCAGACGGGTCATCGACACATTCTGTGATTTTACCCACAATTAGTGTACCATCTATTGACAATATATGAAGTGCTTCATTATTAAATTTTTGCATATCTCTGTCAATGCTAAATGTCTCCAGGTGGGCCCAAATACAACCAGAATGGTGCTGACTCATCACAATTGAAACCCCGTGAAAGGTCTATTCACACCTTGAGCTCATGATTTGCTGTTTGAAGGTCCAAATCTTTATTATTTGTGCTTAATATCTCTTCTTACATCTACCAGGTACCCAAAACAAAAGAAAAACGGTGAAAAAAATTTATACATTGAAAGGGTGGGCAAACATCCGTACAACCCGTTTACGGCCGTTTTTTGCCCGCCCGTTCCCGTTCTGACTTTTGAGTTGCAAATTTACGCCCGTCGATCGACGGCCGTCCCTGTCAAACGGACAGTGCGCAGCCCTATGTAACAAAACATGTGTCCCTGCTACCATGTTTACGCCCCCTCAGCCATCCGATAGGCAAGACGAAGAGTGTATAGAAGATCAGAGCAGTAACACCATTTACGAGCGCCAAATGTTGCCCAAGAAACCTGGAAGTTTTCCTTTGTGGAATCCCCAACCAAACGCTTTTGCACTCTTGACGCACCTACGAAAAGGTGTTCTTATTGGGGATTTCAGAAGAATCACGCCGAGTTCTCATATACAGGCTGGTCACGGGCCTAGAGTACGACGTGGCTTTTGTGTTACGGACAGCTCTTGAGCTCTGTGGCCAGCTCAATTTCTTACAGAACACCATTCTGCAGCAAGTTGTCACTCTTCGTGATGACCTCACTCTCCGCGACGCAACGATGCACGATGTGACACACCACATGTTACAAACTGCTTCAATGTCTATGGCATTTATTCTGCACAAAAAATACATGCCCCCCAAATTGGGCTCTGGAGCCATGTCTGGAACAGTCAATGGTTTTTCAAATTTTTTCAAAAATGTGCATCTAAGAAGTAAGGTACTTTACCCTGACTACATATGTAAAATTGTAGATCAAGAGCAAGAGTTGTTCAATTTTGACAGATTTATTTACAATTTTGGATAGATTTATTGTAATACAGTCCAGATCTTGAAATAAGTACAACTCTTTTGCACATGAAGGTCAAGGCAATGTCAGAAAATATTAATAACATACCAGTAGCTCATGTATCAGCATTTGATAGCAGCGCAACAATTTTTTTAACCTACTGATTCTTTTTTTGTTGCCTGCTGCATGGCAACATGCCATTAAAAAGGAGAAGTGTATGTAAAGTGCTTCCACATACCCTGAAATATTTTATTAGCATTGACTCATACTTTGATGAGCAATTGCATTGAGTAGAACTGACTTTATATGCTCAGAACAACACAATTTTTCTTCCCAATGGTTCAAAATTGCATTCTGGGTTCAAATTGGAGTATCCTACAATTTATCACAAGTAAAGTGAGCTATTCATATATTTTTCTGGCCTGTGGCGCATAACACGACAAGAAAAGCCTGTAGGGAGGTGAACTGCTCGAGCAGCTGCCTATTTGGGTGTTAATCCCAATCGGGTGTTAATTTTTCCCAGGTTCCAGAACAGGTGTTAACTACATTACTGTGATTTCAGACATTTTGCCTATCAAATTTTACTGACCACATAAGTAGAGGTAAACATAGAATACAGCTATTTTTTTTCTCAGCCTGCGGTGCAAATTATGGTTTTGTGGAAAATTGTGTGTGTTAGAGGCTGCCTGCCTATTCGGGTGTTAATTTTGATGGCAATCCCAATTGGGTGTTAATTTTTGATTGTTCCCAAACGGGTGTTAAATAACGCCTGATTAGGCGTTATTTTGTTCCAGACATGGCACCTGAGCCCCAAATTGGGCCATGGTGTCATGTCTGGAACCAATTTCAAAAAGAGCAAAAACTCGGTAACTTGTGCACTATAAATTCTGTTATTTAAAATGATGGCTTAGCTCAATGGAAATGTTGGATCTAGACTGGTATTCCATTGTTGAGGTCACAAGTTCAATTACTGGAGGCTGCAACTTTTTTCTCAAAAATATATTTGCTCTGGCTTCTTCTTACTCTCCTATTTACATATTTAAGTCTAACACTGCCACTTTGTAATTTATAAAAACACCAGAAAGTATGCATATAATCCAAATTAATAAACTGGGAAATATTTCATAAAAATTGACATTTTGCCCTTCCACCTCTCCCTGCACATGTATACATTGTATCCTCTCTTCCAGAATCAAAGCAGACCATGCACCTCCTTTTTCTTGAAGTGGAACTGGATGATTCCAGTGGTGCTTCCCACTGTAAAAATTTACTTTGTACATTTTGGCCAGAAAAATAGGAGAAATTCTCTGCTAAAGGTTGCTCTGGCTGTAGTATTGGAGGTGTTTGTTCAAGATTTATAACCATGCCTGATGACATGGATGCTGAGGAAGTTGATGCAATAGCTGTGGCTGAAAGTGTAGATGTATTTGTTTTTCTCCTAGCTTTCTTTGCCAAGGGCTGTTGTTGAGGCTGATTCTCCATGCTGTCATTATGGAAATATATAAGTGGTTCAAGAACTTCTGCAGCATAGGTTGGTGCCTGGATTCTCTCCTGATTTTTCTTTCTTTTATTTGAGCTATTCATCATGTTTTCATTTTCCCTCTTTTTTCCAGTCCATTTCTTGTAATGATTTTCAAGATGCTCATGCATTTTATAGAAAATTGTCTTGCCATCAGCCTTTCCTGACCACCAGGCAGCCATAGCTTCAAAATCAGGATCCTGAGCAGGTGAGAACCAGTCACCATGGAGGGATACAGAGGCATTGAATAGTTGAAATTCTTGTGTTGTATGCATGGGGACAACAGCAAATTTTGTTCTTTGAGCAGCTGCCAAATATTCATAGATATTTGTCCTCTTTCCTTTCAAAGAGGCCAGATGTAATTTAAGAGGGTAAAAGCTTGTAATGCATAATTGTTCTTCTGAAGTAGTTCTGGGGTCATGAACAACCTGTCCATCANAATTACATTTGATTTGAAGCACATCTGGAATGCATGTGATGCCAAATTGCTCATGTGTTTGTGCAAAG